AGTAGTTATAGTGATGAGTATTCACATCATTTTGGACGTTTTTCAAAACTGATGTCAAACCATAGATGTTGCATTAGAAACTAACTTTGAAGTCAGTTACTACACGTGGTAAACTTCATGTAACCATAAGTATTTTCCCAGACGGACGTCGTAGCCTGAGTAATACAACTTAGAATATTATAAATAATACAAGAAATACATGTCGTTTTGATTTTGTGTTACATGTTTTTGAGGGCTTTGTCAGTTTCCAAACCTTACATGTAACATACTGAATTGAAGGCCTATATGTCTAATTTCTAAAGGAGCTAGAGACATCAATTTAGGAGCCCCGTGGAATTAGTTGTGTGTTTTACTAAGATGTGTTAAATCTACATCTTGAAGCGAAACTAGAAACTCATGAACTAGAGACCCAAATTTGAAACTGTAGTTGTCGCACTTACATTGAGTTTAGAATCATTTAGTATGTGCTATAAGCTTCGTGTGGCCATAAAAATCATCCAAAACGGATAAATGTAGCTCAAGTTATGCATTTTTGAAGTTGAGCATAGTTTGTAAAGTTCTGCAGAAAAACAGCCACATTTTATCTGGTATAATGTGCTTTTGGAGATGTTAACAGACACGAAAATAAATTTATGCTAGTTCTTTACAAAGCCTTAGATGTGTACTTCGATTAGGCACTGATTTTGTAATTTTTGGGGCTATGTAGAATATTTTATGAATATTCTCGTAACAGTTGCAAAAGGTGTCTTTTCTAGGGATTGATAAAATAAAGAACTGAGACCCCTACTTTTTGAAATAGGATTGTTGTACCTAAACCACTATTACTACCATTTGGAACATATTATTAGTGATATATGGGAGTTGGAATCACATCATTTGGAGTTTTGTAACCCGAGTTGTGCGCATCGAAAGTTTCATATAGAAACTTCTTAAAAGCTGTTAAAATCAGGAAAGACTAGAATTTTGATTTCTTCAAAACTATTTTTGAGGTACTTAGAGAGCTCGTATTTAGGCATATGATAGTTCATTTTGAAGCTCTAGGTGTCTACTTTATTTAAAAACTAGAATTACACCTTTTTGATCTATGTGGAATATTTTGTGATCATTTCTGTCAGAAAGGTCAAAACTGCATTTTTGACATAACGCAAAAAGTGTGAATTTGAACCCCCAACTTCTAGAACCGAGATTGCTGCTACCATTTAGTGTGCGTAGTTAAAGTTTCACATAGAAACTTTTTAAAAAGCCTTGAAAAGTTAAAATTTTAGAATTTTAATCTCTTGTTATATGTGTTTGAAAGCTCGTTGGAAAGATCTAGATGCCTATTTTCATTAGGAGCCAGTTTTCTACCCTTAGAGAGGTGTAATACACTTTGCACGTGTCTTTATGACGGGCGTCAGATCAGCCCAGATGTGAGATTAAATAACTGAGTAAATGGAATGATTGTTTTACATAATCTGAGTTCGATTAAGTGGAGAACTTCACTAAGCCCTTAGCTTATGGTGCTCAGTTAGCTATTGAAAATTTTGAACCCATTGGGCGTTATACAAGAAACATGTCCGTGATGGTTCTTGTTCATTTATTCTACAACTTTGCATAGGATTTGTATCAGAAATCAAGTGTTCGGACATGTGAGTAGAGATGAAAATTTGTCATGTTTACGTATGAAAAGTGTGATTGTGGAATAATCACCAGTCATTAAAAAATGATGAGACCGCTAATGCCATTCGTTTCCTTGCATATCTTTGTTGAATGTTTTCTTAAGTACAAACCGCTGCCCATGCTCAAAGGAATCACTCGTTTTGATGTGGAAGGGAAACTTGCACCAAGATATATAGGACCGTTCCAAATCATACAACGAGCTGGTGTCATTGCTTATTACCTCACGTTACCTCCTGAATTGTCACATGTGCACAATATGTTTCATGTTTCTATGCTTCCGATTCAGTATGACACGACTTACAAAGAACCGTCGGTCCAGATTTTTGACCAAAAGGTGAAGAGTTTACGTCGTCGTGAGATTTCACTAGTAAAAGTGTTGTGGCAACACCATGGCATTGAGGAAGCGACGTGGGAACTAGAAGTGACAATGCAAGAACAATATCCATATATATTTTTATCCTGAGGAAGCTCTAATTTTGAGGACAAAATTTCCTTTATGAGGGTAGAACTGTAACAACCGGAAGAATTAAGCATGTTTTATTATGTTAATTGTGATATATTAGTGTGCCTAATGTTAATTTTCTTAATTAATCATGTCATTAAAAATTTTAATTTCTTTCCGTTTTGAAAATACACTTACTTTTCCTTTTCCTCTAAATACCCTTTAATATATTTTTTCCACATTTTCTTCTTCTTTTTCTTTTTTCTTTTCCTTTCTTTCTTTTTTCTTTTTCTCTTTCCTTTCCCTTTGTTTTTCTCCTTCCTGCAGACCCCCTTGCTCTCTCTCTCTCTCTTTCTTTTTCTTATCTCTCTCCCCTCTGTTTTCCTCACCGGCTACCCCCCTCTCTTTTTCTTCCCACTGGCGCTCTTTTTCTCTCTCTCTCTCTCCCTTCCAGCATTCTCTCTCTTCCTCTCACACCTGCTGTTCTTGGCCGGGGCAGCAGCCAAGAAAAAAAATAAACAAAATAGAAAAGAGAGAGAATAGCTCCTTCAACGAACTAGAGGTAAAATTTCTTGAGAAATCCACTCTTGTATTTGAATTATTGGTTTAAAGAAGTAGATTTTGATTAGGTTTGATGAATTTTGATTTAGGTTTAGATTTCGCCAAATCGTGGTTGAATTTAGGTTGAATTTGGGGGATTTTAGTTCTTGAGCATATTGAAGTGTGTGGAAACTAATTTTAGCAATTTCCTATGAATTTATTTTAGAATTGAACTCAAAATGCAAGTTTTTGATATTTTTCCTATTAATTGTTGAACTGTTAGCGTATTGTAGAAATGCTTTAAAAATGAGTTTTTAAACCAAATTTCAATGGGAAACCAAACTAACGGATTAAGTTCTAATTTTCAAAGCACCACAAGTTGCATTATGAAGTTGTTTGCAAACTTTAGATTTGAGTCAAGGCACACTAATAGGAAGCAATAGTACATAATTGAACTAGAATTATTTTAAAGGTGAGAACTAAATTCTAAAATATCGTTTTGATAACGAAGCTAGCGGCACGATCGAACGTGGAGCTTCAAGAATAGACAGTTGGATAACGTGAAGTTATCCGTAGATTAAATTGCCCAGAGGTAGGATATTCTTGTCCATATCCTTATTAGTCTGTTTTAAGTATTTTGGCTTATGGAAATGTTTTGAAGACAAAACATGATTTATAAAAAATAAAATTTTAAAAAAAGTAGTTTGAGGAAATAGCATGATTTATGCTATTGAATTCCTAATGAACTGAATTAAGACTTAATAGACATTTTTAAGAAACGATAAAATGCATGATGGCCATAGAGATTGGGATATGAGAATCACATCCTTAGGGGCAGGTCCCGAAACCCGTACGGGCCACAACGGTGGTGATAAGGCCTTGCAATGGTCGTAAGTAATTTGTCATTAAATTACTTGTTGATGCCTGAAACCGATAATTTTGGTTCATTTTCCTTTCAGAAAAAGGATGTTCAGTTCCGGATGATTTGTCCAGACTGTGAATACTTTTTATTTATAAAGCTTTCTTTTAATTTTCTAAAGTTTTCTAAAATATATCCTATTGGGCATTCCGCTCATTTTTCTTCTATGTTCAATATTTTAACCCCCTCTAGAGTTAGCGATTTAGATTCATAGCATGGCGCATGGATGCCAATAGATTAGAAGCACAAGATTTGATGTACTTAGTCTGTTTCAAAATTACAGTTTTTAAATTCTGAGATGTACTGTATTCCTGTATATAAATTGTAATAATCGACATTGTCCCAGAGTTGTATAATTTTAAACTTTATGGATTGTTTTAAATATTGTTTATAAAAGAAAGACTCCAGAGTAATATATTTTAATATCTATTTTGGTGTTTATATATTTTTTACATTATTTTTCATGGATTTTCCTTAATTAATCAAGTTTAATTAAGCTAATTTTCTTTAATTCTATCCCAATAATCACGGTCTCATCTTTGGGGTCGTGATAGTTTATGGTATCAGAGCACAGCTTCGAATTCTATGGAAAATCGAGCATGTGTAAGTTTTCTACCGAGTCTTCTTGTTATTTTAACAGTTTTGTGACGGGATGTGTCGTACAATACTAGTTAATATATGATACAGCTACACTTGAGAATTTGACGTTAGAGACCGTTTCATTTTCCTAGAGCACCTTGATGGATGGAATCCATTGTTTCTATTATCAATATTTATCGATATGAAGTTCGAAGTCAAAGTTGACTTTGAAGTTTTTTAGAAGTATTGATTTCGACCTGATTATTGATTTGTTTTCATAAGTGCTCTTAACTCTTGTCACTTTTAAAAATTCAAAGTCAATGTTGACTTTCGAATTCTTATGAGAATTTTAGTTTAGGAAACAATATTCGTTTTAACTTTTGTAAAGTTTGAATATCACTATTGGTCTTTTCCACCTCTCGACTCGCTCAACTTAAAGATTTAAGTCGATGGAGAGCAACGACTTGGGTTCCAGTGGATTTTGATCGATAGAGTTTCCTCGCTCCATTTTTTGCTTTTCTCGATTTGATCGATGCACAAGTTTAGCCTTGCCATTCATATTTGTATTCTAGCTACTCGTTTCAATTCACTAATGCGCTCTTTTATCTCTTGAGGATGTTTTGCCCAAGAGTGATTACTTTTGGGGTTTCATTTGTTGATGAGATATCGTTCTTCCTTTGGATAATGATGATGGTAGCGATGGTCCCGGTCGAGAGATTGACGCTTATCCACATTCGAGCATCCACCACCAGTAGCCAAGTTGTCCACATTATCATTTCCACCACCAGTAGCCAAGTCCACATTAGAGCTTCCACCACCAGTGGCCAAGTTATCCATATTAGAGCTTCCACCGCCAGTCGCCTAGTTATCCACGTTAGAGATTCCACCACCAGTTACGAAGTTGTCCACAATAGAGTCTCCACCTCCAGTAGCCAAGTTGTCCACATTAGACCTTCCACCACTAGTAGCCAAGCTTTCCAAATTAGACCTTCCATCACCTGTAGCCAAGTTGTCCACATTAGAGTTTCCACCACCAGTAGCCAAGTTTTCCATATTCAAGTTTTCACCACCAGTAGCCAAGTTATCCACATTACAGTTTACACCACCTATAGCCAAGTTGTGCAAATTAAAGCATCCACCACCATCACTAGCCAAGTCGTCCACATTAGATCTTCCACCACCCACAGCCAAGTTCCTACAAAAAAGTTTCTACTAGTCCACCACCAGTTACCAAGTTGTCCATATTAGACTTTCCACCTCTAGTAGCCAAGTTGTCCATATTAGAGCGTCCACCACCAATAGCCAAGTTGTCCACATTAGAGCTTTCAACACCTATAACCAAGTTGTCCACATTAGAGTTTCCACCACCTGTAGCAATGTTGTCCATATTAAAGTTTTCACCACCAATAGCCAAGCTGTCTGCATTAAAGCTTCCACCACCAATAGCCAAGTTGTCCACATTAAATCTTCCCCCACCCGCAACCAAGTTGTCCACAATAAAGTTTCCACTAGCCCACCACCAGTTAACAAGTTGTCCACATTAGACTTTCCACCTCCAGTAGCCAAGTTGTCCATCTTAGAGCTTCCACCACCAGTAGCCAAGTTGTCCACATTAGAGCTTCCATCACCTGTAGCCAAGTTGTCCACATTAGAGTTTCCACCACCAGTAGGAATGTGTTCCATATTAAAGTTTTCACAACCAATAGCCAAGTTGTCTACATTAAAGCTTCCACCACCAGTAGCTAAGTTGTCCAAATTAGAGTTTCCACTACCAATAATCAAGTTGTCCATATTAGAGCTTCCACCACCAGTAGCCAAGTTGGCCACGTTAAAGTTTCCACCACCACATTAAAGGTTCCACTATCAGTGGCCAAGTTATCCACAATAAAGTATCCACCAGTCCACCACCAGTTCCCAAGTTGTCCGCGTTAGAGTTTCCACCTCCAGTAGCAAAGTTGTCCACATTAGAGCTTCCACCACCAATAGTCAAGTTGTCCACATTAGAGTTTCCTCCACTAGTAGTCAAGTTGTCCACATTAAAGCATCCACCACCAGTAGCCAAGTTGTTCACATTAGAATTTCCACCACCAGTAGCCAAGTCCACAATATAGCTTTCACAACCAGTAGCCACATTATCCACATTAGAGCTTCCACCACCAGTTGTCAAGTTATTCATATTAGAGCTTTCACCACGAGTAGCTAAGTTGGCCGCATTAGAGTTTCCACCACCACATTAGAGCTTCCACCACCACATTAAGGCTTCCACCACCAGTAGCCAAGTTGTCCACAATAAAGTTTCCACTGGTCCACCATTGGTTCCCAAATTGTCCACATTACAGTTTCCACCTCTAGTAGCCAAGTTCCTTTTTACACATTTATAACTATATTTTCACTCTCATAAAAAGAAATATTTTTCTTTTCTAAAAAATCCTTTGTTTTAGTAATGTTTTCCATCCACTAAAGTAGCATATTAAACAAAAAAACCATTTAATATTTGATGCATTATTAGGAGCAATTAAAATAAATATTATACTTAAGATTAATTTACTTAAAATAATAAATTTAATTAGACAATTTTATCTTGATAATGAAACAAAAGTACAATTTAAATTAAACTTAAAATGTTAATGAAAAAAAATATAATACAAAAAATTAAACACATTTTAACATACTTTTATATTAACTCTTAAAAAGGTATTACAACACATCATTACACATTCCTTTATTAAAGAAAGCAAATTTAACACTATAACACCCCGAAGAATTAAACAAGATTAATTGAGGTAATTAACATTTATTAGTGTGCCTAATCTGGTTTAATTAAGTAATTATTGGATATTAAATGTTTCTGACGTGTAAATTTAAATAATTCCAAGGTATTAAAATATTCTCAGTATTTACATTTTTCCCAGAAGTGTGTATGGGTACATTTCTGGATTGTTATTTTAATTTTATGACACCTGTCCTTTCCCTTTACTTTTCCTTTATTTTCTTTTCTTCCTTTTCTTTTTCCCTTCCCGAGCACACTCTCTCTCTCTCTTTCTCTCTCTTTCTTTCTTCGAACTCACACTTTCTATCTCTCTCTTTCGTTTTTGCTTCAAAATCAACCGGATTTCAAACCAAAGGGAAATTTCAAGAATTTTTCAACATCAAGAGAAGGATTCAAGGTAAGATTTCTGAAAAACCTCTCTTGAACCTCAAGTTTTCAGATTTAAAAGCTTAGTTTTGGTTCGAAATAAATTTTGATGGATTTTGAGTAAAACCTTGGTAGAAATTGGAGATCTTGGGTTCTTTGGACTTGATTTTGTACCTAGAACCCGGATCTAGTGGTCTTCCTTTGAGATATTTCGATTTGGAACCAAAATTACAGTTTTTTGGGCTGATTCTGCGGGTTTTCCTTGCCCAGCTGTTCTTCACAAGTCGACCTGTGCGGTCGACCGGACTACATTGGGTATACCGGTTGACCTATGCGGTCGACCAAATTGCACACTACCGGTCCACCAGTGGTGTTGCACTGCGCTATCACCGGTCAACCGGTGTACACGGGGTTTGACTCTGTTTTGCTGTAAAACCCTATTTTGACCTCAGTTTTCAAGCAGAACTCAAATTAGCTTCATTTGGGGACCTAGAATGAATGGATTAGCTTCTTTAATCCATTTTTTGAGATTGAAAACCCTTGGAATGATGATTTGAAACATGAATTAGGTTATGAAACTTGAAAATTGATTAAGGCACACTAATAGGAAATGAAATCGAATATTGAGATTGAAATTGCTTTAGGAATGTGAATTGGATGCTAAAGCGTGGTTTTGTATCAGTGCTAGCTGAGGACTCAGATTGAAGGGCTTGAGGAAGCGAAAGCTAGAATAGTGTAACGCTAGCCAGGGTTGGTGCTTGTGAGGTAGGATTTCTTACCATTTCCTTTGTGAGCCTGTTTTTAAAATAATTTTGGCCTTGCAAATGTTTTAAAGAAAGGGCATGTTTGTGAAAGAAAAGCATTTTAACCCCCATGACTTGTTGTAGTTCTGGGGAGTATAATGAACTGTTTTATAAAGTTTAATGAATGATTTCTTAAGATAGGAGATCTTACAAATCGGTAAACTGGCTGATGGCCTAGATAGGATGTGGAGAGTGCATCCTTGGGGGCAGGACCCGAAACCTGGCCTAGGGTGATATGGCTTGTGCATTTGGTTGTATAAGTAATTTATCATAGTATAAATTACTTGTTGATACCTGTAATACAGAGATTTTCAGTTATATTTCCTTTGAGAAAAAGGATGTGAGGTTTCGGCTGTTGTGTTGGAACTGAATGTCTTATTAATTCATTTACTTATTTATTTATTTACTTGTTTACACATTTATTTATTTGTTTATAAAGTTATTTTAACATATATCCTACTTGGCCTTTCGCTCACTTTTTATTATTTCAACATATATCCTACAGGTGATTCTAGAAGCAGTGCGAAGTAGCTGAGTTGCTACCACCTAATAAAGAGAGGATTGTGTTCATCCTCCTGGTGTATAAATGTAAGAATTATAAATTTTGTAAAATCTAATATTTGGATTTCTAGACTGTGGTTGATGTCTATAATGTTTCATTTACACGTTCATGTATGTACGATACTGAAGATCCCATGGATAGATCCTGAGGGTGTAGCCCTAAACAGTGATAAAGGCGGGAGTTTTAGCCTCTTGAGATGTTCTTGAAATTTATTTTCGGTAAAATAGTGGTGCTCGTTTGGAGATTTCTTTAATATTTCACTGTTGGTTTTAATTATTAAATGTTTAACTCCTAATCGAGCCTCCACGTCACCGACCCCTGCCCCAGGGTGTGACAAACACTGGGTAGTTTTGACATTTCTCACCTAAATTTAAAGAAAAATTTTACTTTTACCCTCTTAATTTTAGTTTTTTTCACTTTACCTCCTGAACTTTAAAAATTAGTATGCACACCTCCTGAACTTTGAAACATTATTAACTTTATCTCTTATGTTAATTATATTACCGGTTTTGATGACGTGTTAATTATTGGAGGGGTAGTTTAATAGATTATTTTCATAAACGCCCCCTGATGTATGTGCCATATTTAAAAATGCCCACTGATCTATTAAAACATATTAAAATGCCCCCTAATCTATAGAAAACGTAAAAAAAAAAAATAATTGTTTTGATGATATGACATGTCATTAAAAACTAATTAAACATATTAAATTCAAATTAAATCAAGAAAAGAGAATAAATATTAAAAATAATATAAAATAATATAAAACACTTGAATTTAAAAATTAAAAAATTAAATAAATCAATTTTTTTTCAAAAATCAAAATAGGAAAAGAAGAAAATTTTTCAAAATTAAATAAATATTTACAAAGAGGAAGTAGGTTTTTCAAAAAAAAAAAAATTCCCTCTTTACTTTTGGGTTTTTTATTTTTTAAAAAATATTGGATTTATTTAAATTTTAAATTTCTTTAAAATAAAGTGTTTTATATTTTTTTTGTGTTTTTAATATTTTATGGCTTTCGTTGATTTTATTAGAATTTAATGTGCAATTAATTTTTAATGGCATCAATAATGTTATTTTATCATTTTATTTTTATAAATGAAGGGTTTTCATAGATCTGAGGGTATTTTTAAAAAAAGTATATACTTCAGAAGGCATTTATAAAAATAATCTGGCTACATCATCAAATTCGTTAATAAACTTATGTCATGACCGAGAAATTTATCGGAATTATTGTATGATATAAAATTTCCAAATTCGTTAATAAACTTATGTCATGACCGAAAAATTTATCGGAATTATTGTATGAGATAAAATTTCCTAAAATCCTTTGTATTATCAATATGAATATTTTTATGATACGTATTTGTTGATATAAATATGGAATAGCAAGTTATAAGCTAAAATTCATAAATTTCTGAGGTATGATGTAGTTATCGATTTTTAGACTGTATTTAAGAATGAGGTACGGAACACTATGTTTAACCCACAAGGAATGGAAAAGAATTACAAAAAAAACATCAATTCTAGGATTTTAGAAACAATCGGAACGAAAAAGGGGTTCGGAGAGCCGAACCGAGAAAATTGAAGTTTTTGACCGAATAGGGTTGACCAAGTCAAAATTTATTGACCAGGAGTCGATTAATAAGTCACCCTTGAAAGGATAGTCAAGGTTGAACAAAGTTGACTTTGTTGACTAACTCTCTGAAAAACGCGGGTAAAACGCGTACCGGATGGGAATTTAACTGAACTAAAATAAAATAGTTATTAGAAATGGATGGTTGAGATTTAAGGTGAAAACTTAGATGAAGGGCTGAGATTGAGGCATGTGGAATGCAAGGTGGCCGGCCAAGCTTAGTAAAGAAGGAAAGAAAAGATATTTTTGGTGAAATTTGGTGAAATTTTGCAAAAAGGTCCCTCAAAAGTGCCAAAATTCAATTTTAGTTCTCCCACTTTATTAAGTCCGGTTTTTAAGAGATAAAATACCACCAAATGTTCATTTTTCATGCTAAGAACAGAGAGAACTTAGGCAAAGAGAAAGGAAGAAAAAATTCACCCCAAAGTGAGAAAAACGGGTTTTGATCGAAATTGACGAAACGACACCACTAATTCGCGTCACTAAGGATTTCTCTTCACTCTCTAACGTAAATTTTGGTTTTATTTTCACGTTTTTCTACCTTGGCTGCCCATTTAAGTATGGAGAACAGCATGAAATTTTTTTTACTTAAGATGATGATTAAACTTGTGGTTGTTAAGAACTTGAAAATCTAGTGATTAAGGAGGAAGTCTT